TCAAGTTGGAATCAAGTATAAAATGATAGTGTTAGCTTCCTGAATCTGCCAACATTGTCAGTGTCTCTGCTGGTGCACAAGCTTGCCCAAGGTGCGACAGGATGAAAACTAGTATTTGAGACCAGTAGTCAGCTGTTGGCTGAGTGCATATTCTCTCTTCTGCTACAGTGAGTAGCAGTCAAACGGACAATAATCAAGTCAGTTTCACACTGCTATTGCTTAAGAAAGCTAGCAAGCTGAGCAGAAGCAGGCAATGGAGCTAGTCTGTAGGGAAGAGGACTCAAAAACGAAGGTTCAGGAAAAGGAAGAGTAACAAAGCCAGACATGTAGCTCTGAGAAGCAGCTAGGAAACCTGAGAGAAAAGAGAGTAAAGTAGATCCAAGATTCACACAGGTAGCAGAGAGGAAGCTTTGAGGTGGAAAGAGGGACCAGAAAGAGAAAGAATGCTTTTCCAACAACCAAAAAAGTTTAGGGAAAATTCGGGTATGTCTACACTACATAGCTTTTTTGGAAAAACAGCTGTTTTTCCGAAAAAACTTCAATTACGACCACACTTCAATTGCATTCTTTTGAAAGAAAATCGAAAGAACAGAGGGGTTTTTCCAACACTGGTAAACCTCTTTCTATGAGGAAGAAGCCTTTTTCTGATAGAGCTCTTTCAGAAAAAGGCATGTGTGGATGGGGAAGAGAGAGTTCTTTCGCAAGAAGAGGAAAGAGGAAAAAGCACAGATGCCCTGGTGGCCATTCCACCCGTAGTAATCACAGTTTACATGTGGGATAGCATCTATTCAGTCTGGATGCTATTTTTCAATGCACTTTGGCAGTGTGGCCACTCTCTGTTGGAAGAAGTTTTTTCAGAAGATCTCTTCCAGAAAAGCTTCTTCAGAAAGAAGCCTGCAGTCTAGATATAGACTGAGATTATAGTCTATAGTCTATCTCAGTCTAGATATAGACTGAGATGTAGACTGAGATTATGCCTGAGTCCTTACCTGTCCCTTGAATAATAAGCCTAAACCCCATCTTTTGTACTAATCTTTGGTTATTAGGTGTCTGGTGAAAATTCCAAGTCTCTTGTGTGTTGGGATGCATGTAAAGGAGAGATTAAAATATATAAGTACTGAACTGAGAGATCAAAAAATCTGAGGTGATGAGGATGGTGAGCTACAGAGAACACAACAGTAAAAATGCAAAGGAGAGAGCAGAAAAAGGGACTCGTTGATACCAAAGACAACACAGACCACGATACATCATGAAGTAACATGGGAAAGGGAAGTTCACTGTGGAGTGACAGCAGGGAGGGGAAATAGTCCATGTGTCAGCCGACGGCCAGGACAGTGTGTGTGTGTGTGTGTTACCGAGAAAAGGTTTAACGTCTGTGTCTTTACCACTACGACCAGGGTCCCGTCGTGGAGGGCAGCCAACAAGCTAACAGACGCCCCGAGTTTAACGTCCGTGTCTTTACCGCTAGGACCGGGGTCCCGTCACTGAGGGCAGCCAACAGGCTGACAGATGCCCCAGAGTTTATAGGGAGAGCTTATTACATCTCAGATTTCAACTGCTAGGATACAGGATCCCTGCGCAGCAGGCAGTCTAGGAAAGACAAAGAGATGCCCCAACGGATCTGTCCCCTGGGAGGGACACGAGCCAAAATGCCCAAGCTCTTCCTATACCTGTCCCTTATGACCAGCTGAAGTTCTTTTAAATTGTGCTTGGTTCTGTTACAGCAACTGAAGGAGTCAGGTTAAAGCTTAAACAGTTACAGGTTTATTAAAGAAGCTTATAAATCATATGGTTACAATGGCTATTGCTCTATTTCTTAACTGCTAGCAAATATAGATCTTAAAATGGTTAAAATGAAAATAAAGATAGAAAATAGAAATAATGGTACCAAGTAACAGCTTAATCTTTAAAGAGCTCTAAGTCTATGTGTACACTTAAGACAAAGGACACATCCAGGTACAATTTTTATGCCCTTCTGTGCCTCCCGACTCCAGCGGGTCAAGCCAGGGCCAGTCCTTCAATTCCTAGGAAAGACGAATATGAGGTGGAACCTCAGATGAGGTGGAATACCCCGTGAAACCTCGGGAGGTCAATCACCTAACCCGACCAGCAGGTAGATGGTAGATTGACACTCAAAGTGAGTGTGCTCCTGGACCCATCTTTATACCCATGGGGTCACCTATTTCTCTTTCTTATCTGTGATGCCAAATGGTGCTGGTCTGTCTTTTGTGACACCAGTTCTTACAAGGGTGTTGTGAACTTAATTTACACTTGTAAGAGAGATAACTAAATTGGAAGTACTGGGCATTCTTTTCTCAGTGGGAGATTCCTCTCCCAGGGACTACTGTGTGTGATCGTATCAACATAGGTGCCAGCCAGGGCAGATCTCGCAGCCTCGAGGTCAGCTTATTGCCTTAATCGTTCTCTTCTCATATCTATGTTTTCAGCTTACTCTGGGTCAGGGGAGCCTGCATATCCTGATCTCGCATTGAAGCTTAATGGCTATGCTGATTTTTATTGTTCCTTCTCTGCCCTGTATACAGGCACCTCAGAGGGTCAAGCAAGATTGATGTGACGGGGGAAGGGGGGCTGTCTGGCTACACTATGGTAATATTTTATATAACGTATTAGATAGAAAGATGATTTACAGTATCTTAAAATGGCATTCAGTGCACAACTGCTATAGTCCTTTAAAAAAAACTCCTAGATGCTTTGCTCTGTTTTATGTGGTGCTGCAGCTATTCCTAGTAGTTTAGGCTTATGCAAGAAGGTGTTGAAAATTTTTTGCAAGCCCAGAACATTTCATTTACACCACAAATTGTCATAATTAGATTTAACATATATTATTAATAGGAAATCCATGTATATTTAAGAGATTACTAGAACCATGGATCATGTGTATTAAAGGCCAGTGGAGGTTCAGCCTCTTTTCTGGGGCTGCTGGTGCTGCCAGATCCCCAATTGCAGGGTTTTGGGGGGACGTTTTTTATTTATTATGCCCCATGTTGTTTCTGGGGCAGTTGAGGAGGCTATTCAGCTTCCCAGGTTCATCGGTAATCTCCCTGGACTCCAGAGAGATTATTGACAAACCCAGGAAGCTGAGTAGCAAATACTCCATCTTCAGCCACTCTGGAATCTGCACTGGGCATATAAAAGGGTCTCAAGAAAGGAGGCATGGCTGCAGTTGGCCCCAGACTCCTCTTGTTTTGGGTCTTTAGCTCTCCTAGCGTGCCTCCAACCAAGGTGCAGTGGCTTCTTGGGGCTCCTCTGGGTGGAGATGTCTGGGGAACACAGTACAGTACAAGAAATTGTTATCTGTAGGAATTCCAAAAAAATCAATTTATTTCCCATAAAAAAAAAATTAGACAAAACCCCATTTTCTAATGAAATGTTCCATTCAATTTTTTCTTCAACCAGCCATAGACTTTACCTTGGACGCACTATGGGTGTGGAGAATTTCTTTCTAAAGACATGGATAGAATTTGTAACTACAATCTGCAAAATCACAGGAGTCTCCAATTTGCAATAATCTCTAACAATTAAAAAAATCTTCTTTAACTTGCTGTTCCAGTTCTGATTCCATTTAGAGCAAGGCAAGGGTTCATATGTAGATTGGCCAGCTCTTCATGAAGCTTAGGTGGTCATGTGGATAGGAAATTAGACTGGCACGTGGGTGGTGGGTATCATTGGCAGGGGAAGGCAATGCCTTTGCAAATTGCCTCACCTGGCCTTGCCCATGCTTCACTGGAATCCTCCAGATCCTCTCCCCCAGCCTGCAATTGTAGTGCCAGCAGCTGGGACAGGCAAACTGGGGGCCACACCACACCTCTGGTCCACCTGGCCCTGGAGCCACTCTGGCTGTCCAGTGTTAGAGAGCCTTGCTGGTCAGGGTGCAGACAGCACAGCCCCAGTCTCTTTGTGCCATGCCTGCTGACCAGATCTCCACAGCTTTAAAGCCAGGCCAGGCTGCTGTGCCACACTGCTGGCTCTCTGGAGATCCATGGCAGGCTGTGCTCCGGAGAGCAGCAAGTCCACTTGCTGTGTGACTTTGGACAGGTTGCTTAATTTTATTGTGCCTCAGCCCTATCTTAGCTTATTTAGATTGCAGGCTAGCCAATGAGGTGGGGGAGGGAGACAGGGCAAATGAGACAACTGCCCTGGGGCCCGGCAATTCAGAGAGACCCGGGTTTCCCAGCCACCACCACTGTTACTGCAGCAGCCATGGTGGCTGGAGCCATAGGCCCTTTAAATCACCACTGGAGCATCCTGACCTTTTCACCCAAGTAGTTGCGCTTCCTGTTCCAGTCAGCACAGAGGGCTGGCTGCAGTATTCTCTCTAAGCTGAGTAGTAGCACAGCTTCTCAGGTGATATCAGCCCCCAGGCAGTCAGCTCAAAGCCTCTGGATGGGCGGGGCTGATTAATCACCTGTGAAGCTGTGGTGCCCAGTAGTTTAGAGGGAACACTGGCTGCCCCAGCCCTGCCCCTTTCACATAAGGCCTTCACCTTTCAGGATAATGGAGCTGCCCCACCCCACTCCTTGTCGTCCCCCTCCTCTGCCTCGGTTAGCTTGTAAACTCTTCAGGGAGGGGATAATCTCTCACTGTGTGTTTGAGCACAATGGATTCCTGATAACTGGTCCTACACATTTATCCTAATAGAAAACTCAGTTGTGAAAAGTGAAAGTTCATAAAATGTCACAATAACTTAGAACAATCAATATTGATAGGAAAATATGCAGAAGGGAAACATGCTAGTAGATAAGAAAGGCCTACTAATATAATTCAAAAATTGTGTTAAATTATGCTGGTAAAATAGAAAATTGGTGTGTCAGAAATTAAGCCTAATTGGTGAACAAAAGAATGAAGGGGTCTGACCCCATTACATCCTTTGTAGTTTTTGCAAGAAAAAGATTTTGGGCAAAATAAGGAGGGAAAAATGAATGTAGTAACACAGAAGCCATACCCAAGATACCCCCCAGCTCTCCAGGCAGGTGTTACACTTAGAGAAGGGGTCAGAAACCTTTTTTGGGTCTGGGGCCCCACACAAGTGAGAAGCAAAATAAGAAGCCTCTGTTTGAGAAGGATAAAGACACTCCGCACATTCCCCTTGCACACCAGAGCCTACGGATCCCAGGCTAGTAGATTTTGTGTGCTCCAGCCCTGTGGGTGGGTGGCTGGGGGGCTGGAGCCGGAGGCAGCATCCAGCCCCTGGACCTGAGATTCTCCACCTCTGACCTAGAGAAATAGAATTGACAGAATCATGTTCAGGGGATAAAACAATATTTTGTATTCATTGTGAATGCAGAATTCATGTACTGTCCCTAGCTAAATTCATTCACCACGCATATACACACTTACACACTTGGGCTACTTCTATACTGGCCCCTTTTCCGGAATAGGCATGCTAATTTCGAACTTTGGAATAGGGAAATCCGTGGGGGATTTAAATATCCCCCGCGGGATTTAAATAAACATGGCCGCCACTTTTTTTCCGGCTTGGGGAAAAGCTGGAAAAGAGCGTCCAGACTGGCGCGATCCTCCGGAATAAAGCCCTATTCTGGAGGATCTCTTATTCCTACTTTCAAGTAGGCTTGAATAAAGCTCTATTCCGGAGGATCTCTTATTCCTACTTTCAAGCCTACTTCAAGCCTACTTGAAAGTAGGAATAAGAGATCCTCCAGAATAGGGCTTTATTCCGGAGGATCGCGCCAGTCTAGACGCTTTTTTCCGGCTTTTCCCCAAGCTGGAAAAAAAGTGGCGGCCATGTTTATTTAAATCCTGTGGGGGATATTTAAATCCCCCGTGGATTTCCCTATTCCAAAGTTCGAAATTAGCATGCCTATTCTGGAGAAGGGGCCAGTGTAGACGTATCCAGAGAGTTCTATGGATGGGATATAATTACCAGCCTCAGTTGCTCATGCTAGTCCACTGGTCAGATGGTCTAGACATGAGGAGGGAAACCAGGTCATGTTGGTGTTCACTAATGCTTCTGGAGGATGAACGTTGAATATAAAGGCCCAATCCTATGATTTTGTACCCATCGTTTTATATTTTAGTCCACAGATGCTCTCCTGTCTCACTGCCCCAGGGCATTGTATGACCACAAGTCATCAGTTAATGGAAGGTTCCACTCTAGTCTTTTCTGTGAGGTGGCTTTTGTCTCTCTTTTTCTTGGAAGGGTTCTTCTGCAGGATTCACCTGCATTGTTCTTTGACTATCAAAGTGGTACTGGCAGCTGGTAACCAAAGTAGGCTGGTGTCAGGGACAAATCCCATTACACATACCCCACATTCACACTAGATTAAACACACACCTAACTTTACACAGAGATAAGACAATACAAAGTTTAAAATAGCGTTTCATTTATAATCACTTTAGTTACAATGTATTAAAAATGTATTACAATAACAGATTCTTCAAAGGGAATTCTTGACAAGCTACTAACAAATGTATCCAAAAGTGGTTAGCACTGCTTCATTTATAAGAGTCAATTCAAAAAATTGGCCCACAATTCATGAGGCTACATAACGTCACGTTGGTAGATAATTTCATTAATAATAAAAGGTGGTTTCATCAGCAACGTCATTGCAGATGTACAGAATCATATTAATAAATATAATTCATTAAAAGTGAAATTTCATTCTTCAGCCCTCCAGATGTACACCCCCTACACCATTTTGCGCTGCACAGAGATTTGCAATATAAGGTCATAAATAATTCACCCCTCCATCAATCTGGAGAGAAATATGTAACAATCTTGTGTTAAACAAGTGGAGATTTTTCCCAGATGCATCACTTAAAGCACAAAACAAATTTTTATCAGCAAAAGATAGATTTGAAGTGATTATAAGTGATAGCAAAGAGATCAAAGCAGATTATCTAGTAAATAATGAAAACTACAAATTTAGGCTAAGATACTAGAAAGACTAGATATGAATTAGCAATTTCTCACCCTGGCTTATGAAACAAGCAATCTACCAGGTTTCCGTAGACAGGCTAGAAATCCTTTTAGCTGGGATCAGCATTTCCTCCCAGTTCAGTATTTGTTGCTCAGGTGTCTCCAGCAGTGTCCTTGTTTGGGAAATGAGGGACCTAGATGATACCACGTTACACAGATTTACTATAGAGCAGGAACCCTTTGTTAAAAAAACCCCAGTTCCCAGCCAGACTGTGGAAAAATTCAGGTATTAAAATTCAACTCAGTGTCATGTGATCTGGTCATATGCTTTAGCTGAGTCATAACAACCATTACTCACAGGCTGCCTGGAGTTTTCAGGAAGGCTCACAATGTGGGGGATAAGCTTTTTCTAAGGTCTATAGTTGCCCAAATGGCCAGTTACCTTGAACAAGCCACTCTCAACTAACTAGTTAGAGTAGCAACATCTTGCCTTTTGGGTACCACCCAGATATAACTATCTTTGAAATACAGATACATACTCAATATTCATAACTTTAGATAAAAAACAATACAACTAGAATAATCATATTCAGCAAATCAAAACTTTTCCAATGACATCTCACATAACTCATCTTGTATAAAATGTGTCATAATTATGCCATAATCCTATAATAAACATACAACATGAAGCATATGGGCCTCAATGTCACAACTAGCATTTAAGGGTTTGTCAAAGAAGAGGTTATTTTCTTCTAAAGAATTTCAACAGCTAAAGGGTGTTGAAACAAATGGTGTTTTTAAAATTAAAACATTACAAGCAGTCCCCGAGTTACGCGGATCCGACTTATGTCGGATCCGCAGTTACGAACGGGGCCGTTCCTCTCCCTGGTCTCCAGCAGACCAGGGAGAGGAAGCAAAGCGGCGGAACACTTGGGCAGCGGAAAGGGCTGTCCGCTGCCCACGCGCTCCGCGGCTTGGCTCTGCTTTGCCCCCCCCCGTCCCCCTGGTCTGCAGACCAGGGGGACGGGGGGGATGAAAGTTTTAAACGTAGCACCTGGGTGCCCCTTAGTGGATGATCACATTATTACATTGGTAAACCCACAGACAAGGTACCCACAGGATTTCATTATCCGTGATTATTGGTGTCGATCTGATGTTTATACATTTGACAAAAACATGTCATTTTGAAATTATACTTTAGCTGTTTCAGTATCCGTGTTGTCGCATTATGTGCTACAAACCATCCACCTCGTATTCTACTGCAATGTAGCATTTTATTAAACTACAGTTAATAATATCATGAGTCATTTTTTTTTACCTCTTAGGCAAAGCACAATAGAAAAATTATAATGAGAAGGTGCCAGAACACATGGAGACAGGCACCTGGGTGACATAGGAAGGGTTGGAGAAAAGTGTAAGGGAAGAATTTAGGAATGTCTTCCAGTGGCATCTCATATACAAAAAGAACCAGTGCACACAGGGAGTGGAAAAGCCCAGAAATTATTAACATAGTGTGAAGGAAATAATATAGTATAAAATCAACACAAATATTATTGCAAATAAATACATATGGCTAATTATGTCCTAATTATTTATTGTTAGTATTTTAATTACTGTAATAATTTTGGTGTATCAATTTAGATGGAATATATAGGTCTAAAGAGTCAAAGATATTAACCAGATTTTGAAACTGATCAACATTACATACTTTTAAGATGGCTTAGTATCATGGCAAATGTATTATTAAAAATATTTTAAAATCTTTCATTTACAATACAGAAAAGAAGGACAAAAAGCTAAGCATTTGAAATGTAAAGCATTAAGTACAGGCAGTCCCCGGGTTACGTACAAGATAGGGATTGTAGGTTTGTTCTTAAGTTGAATCTGTATGTAAGTCAGAACTGGTGTGCAGATTCAGCCGCTGTTGAAACTGATCGGTTTCAGCAGCGGCTGAATCTGGACGACAGTTCCGACTTACATACAGATTCAACTTAAGAACAAACCTACAATCCCTATCTTGTACGTAACCCGGGGACTGCCTGTACTTAATGCTTTACATTTCAAATGCTTAGCTTTTTGTCCTTCTTTTCTGTATTGTAAATGAAAGATTTTAAAATATTTTTAATAATACATTTGCCATGATACTAAGCCATCTTAAAAGTATGTAATGTTGATCAGTTTCAAAATCTGGTTAATATCTTTGACTCTTTAGACCTATATATTCCATCTAAATTGATACACCAAAATTATTACAGTAATTAAAATACTAACAATAAATAATTAGGACATAATTAGCCATATGTATTTATTTGCAATAATATTTGTGTTGATTTTATACTATATTATTTCCTTCACACTATGTTAATAATTTCTGGGCTTTTCCACTCCCTGTGTGCACTGGTTCTTTTTGTATATGAGATGCCACTGGAAGACATTCCTAAATTCTTCCCTTACACTTTTCTCCAACCCTTCCTATGTCACCCAGGTGCCTGTCTCCATGTGTTCTGGCACCTTCTCATTATAATTTTTCTATTGTGCTTTGCCTAAGAGGTAAAAAAAAATGACTCATGATATTATTAACTGTAGTTTAATAAAATGCTACATTGCAGTAGAATACGAGGTGGATGGTTTGTAGCACATAATGCGACAACACGGATACTGAAACAGCTAAAGTATAATTTCAAAATGACATGTTTTTGTCAAATGTATAAACATCAGATCGACACCAATAATCACGGATAATGAAATCCTGTGGGTACCTTGTCTGTGGGTTTACCAATGTAATAATGTGATCATCCACTAAGGGGCACCCAGGTGCTACGTTTAAAACTTTCATCTGAGCTCTTTTTATACTTTAGAACTTCTGGAGTTTTCAGACAAAAGTTCCTCTCACCAAGACACGAGTGCCAAGATTAAATAAAATCCTACCCTATAAAACCCCCTTACAATCAATAGAGCTCTATGCAATATACATTTCATTACTTTGGTCTCATTTATCACAGTGTTGATCACAAAGTGACAAACATGATACTTAAATCACTCAGGAGCGTGGCCTCTTTACAGGGGAATAGTCACATCCTCTGCAAAAGAAACTGTGGCCAAAGCATAAGCTTTAGGAACGAAAGCCAAGAGCTTCATAGACCAGAATATGTTTGTTACCAAAGTAACACTAAACAACCTCAGATTCTTGCCATCCTAAGTAGGTATGATGGGGCTGAAGTAAAGGCAGCTATGATGGCTGAATGTCCATGGGGAATGGTGAAGTCACTGTAGAGTGATTTTCAGCAGTCATTCACCCTCGTACTCACTTACCATAATTATTATATGACTATACAAAAACCTCTATCATGGAATTGCCAGGCTCTATGAATAAGAAAGCAGAGATTTGCCTGACATTGGGATATAACCAGTACATCCCTTGTGCAAATCAGATTAATTCACAACAAACTGGAATGCTGAGAACTGCATAACTGAAAAGTAAACATGCAGTTCCAGGTCAGTTACCTACAGTAGCCCTGTGGTCTGTGTTCTGACTGGCTGAATTAATTTTACTTTATTATGATGTTCTTTAAAGAGATATCAAACCACTTTAACCAGATCTGCTGTTCTAAATTAAATCTATCTTTCACTACTGCTGGTTAAAATAACAACTTAATCTAAATAGAGTAGGTATGGGGAGCTCAGCTCAGTGGTCAGGAAGCCAGTGGTGTTGCATCAGTTTATAAAGCTAGGTATTTGACCTATTAAGTTTAACTCTTCCATTTTCTCCTGTACTTAAAAAAAATCTATATTTTATGTCTTCAATAAGCTGATGTCAAGTATCAGAGGGGTAGCCGTGTTAGTCTGAATCTGCAAAAGCGACGAGGAGTCCTGTGGCACCTTATAGACTAACTGAAGTGTAGGAGCATAAGCTTTCGTGGGCAAAGACCCACTTCGTCAGATGCATGTAGTGGAAATTTCCAGAGGCAGGAATAAATATGCAGGCCAGGATCAGGCTGGAGATGACCAGGTGGATCCAATCAAGGAGGATGAGGCCCACTTCTAGCAGCTGATCTGGAGGTGTGAATTCCAAGAGAATAGAAGCTGCTTTTGTAGTTAGTAAGCCATTCACAGTCTTTGTTTAATCCAGAGTTGATTGTGTCAAACTTAAAGATGAACTGTAGCTCAGCAGTTTCTCTTTGAAGTCTGGTCCTGAAGTTTTTTTGCTGCAGGATGGCTACTTTTAGATCTGCAATTGTGTGTCCAGGAAGATTGAAGTGTTCCCCTAGAGGTTTTTGTATGTTGCCATTCCTAATATCAGATTTGTGTCCATTGATTCTTTTACGTAGGGACTGTCCTGTTTGGCCGATGTATATATGTATATACACAAACCTGATATTAGGAATGGCAACATACAAAAACCTCTAGGGGAACACTTCAATCTTCCTGGACACACAATTGCAGATCTAAAAGTAGCCATCCTGCAGCAAAAAAACTTCAGGACCAGACTTCAAAGAGAAACTGCTGAGCTACAGTTCATCTTTAAGTTTGACACAATCAACTCTGGATTAAACAAAGACTGTGAATGGCTTGCTAACTACAAAAGCAGCTTCTATTCTCTTGGAATTCACACCTCCAGATCAGCTGCTAGAAGTGGGCCTCATCCTCCTTGATTGGATCCACCTGGTCATCTCCAGCCTGATCCTGGCCTGCATATTTATTCCTGCTTCTGGAAATTTCCACTACATGCATCTGACGAAGTGGGTCTTTGCCCACGAAAGCTTATGCTCCTACACTTCAGTTAGTCTATAAGGTGCCACAGGACTCCTCGTCAATAAGCTGATGGTGACCTAATAAAAAGCATTTGATGAGGCTTAAAATTATTTTAAAATATTCTAACATATTTGAAACACATTTTTGATACATTGTGCCACTGATCATTTGGGCCACGTCTACACTAAGAAAGTATTTCGAAATTAGTAAATTCGACTTAATTCCCTATGTAATAAATTCGAACTAGTGAGAGGCAGACTCCATTGATGTGGATGCAGTACCTTGGACTTAGAGCACCAGGACGCACTACGGAGTAATTAGTTAACATTACCCTAGCAAGGAGTTATTTCAAAGTAGTAGCACCGAAGCATCCACACTACCATAATTTCAAAATAACTATTTTGGAATTAGCATTACTCCCATTGAAAAGCAGGAGTACAGATTTTAAATTCCATGGACCGTTATTTCAAAATTACGGGCTTGGTAGTATGGATGCTCCTCTTATAAATTTGACCTGGGTGGGTATTTGTAAATAAAGTCCTAGTGTAGGCCAGGATTTAAAGTCCCTAGGCCAGTGTTTCCCAAATGTGCCCACCATGGTGGCATGTGGCCACAAAGCGCTTTACTTGCAGATACAGCCTGCTGGTTATGATGGGGGAAAGCGTGGGATGAAAAGCCCCTCACACTTCCTGTTGCTCCTGAATGCACTGCCTTGGTGTTGATTTCTCGGGCCATCAGCAGGGGTTGGGCCCTGTTCCCTTCTGGAGGGACTTGGGCAAAACTTTGAAGGAGCAAGCAGCTGGTATGTCTCACACCTTCACGGGGGGAATGGGACACAGGCTTTGTGCTTCAGCCTTGCTATGCTGGGGTGGCAGGCTCCGGTACAGGGGCTTCAGGCTCCAGACCCCCACTGCCTCTCCCAAGCTCTCATACAGGGCTTAATTTGTCCCCAGGCTTTGCAGGGCTGAATAAGTCTCCTGTGAAACATGGTACTTGTATGTTAATAACACTTTTCACAATAGACTTACTAGCTAGCAAGAATTAAATTGCAATGATTTAGATATGTATAGGTCCATATTTATTTGTTTTTCCTAAAGCTTATTATGTATTTTAGGAAAAAAATTATAAGTATTGCCACACCAGGAGAGGTGGCTGCACTCTGAGGCCACCAAAAAATTGACCTGAGTATCCCTGCACTAGGCAATGGTTTGGGAACGGCAACCATTCTGATTTGAGCTCTAAGAGTAGTTAGTAGAGACTGCTGCTCACATTTAAGAGCCAACATTCAAAATGTTTTCAGCCTTGTTTGGTTATAATTGTTCCCATCTGGTGAAGGAAAGACAAACACACAACAGCATTGGGCTAGTGCCAGAGAAGCAGGAAGTGAAACAGATCAATGAAGATGCCTGTTTTCAAATTAAGTTAAATGTGAAAGTAAGCAATCCACATGCATGATGAAGAGGTCATCCATGATGAAGAGGCTTAGCCACACAGGCAAGGAATCTTTAAAGATGTATTCTCATTTTGTCACTGCCTCTCTCTTTGATAGACTAAGGATATAAAAGCTATCACTCTGTATATGATCAGCAGCATTGCAAGTGTCTTCAACAGAAGAGGGCCATTTGTCAGCACCTGAATTTGCATTAAACCATTTAGCATGCGCCTACTTAAAATCTTGCTGCACGGTGAGATATGAAGCGTCATGAGACACAGTTGTAAGATAATAGCACACAGTAAAGCACATTTGTATCTTGCTGCTACAAGGGAAAGATTAAATATGTCCTATCCATTTACTACACATCATAGCCAGAGATATAATTGGCCAGGGTGGTTAAGATATGATTTAAAGCAATGACTCCATCAGCCTTGATTTTTGTTAATGGGGAGTCAGGGTTCCTACTACATTATATTTTCCTTTGTCATACCAACCCCTAGGTTAATTGTATGTTGCAATCTAATCTATTCCTGCCTTCACTACATTCTCTACAAGACAACACTGATACATGTGCTTGATCATTCTCTACCTTTATAAGAAAGAGAAGAATGATGGTTGTCACAGACTACAGCTTCCCTAAAATGTGAGGAACTTCAAATCAATAATGACTATTACAATCATTACTGTTGCCATTTCTATCCACTACAACACTTACTGGCTCACAATGGTCAATGCTTAAAGTCCTTTAGCACTAGGCTAAAGGGTTGTATTGCTTTTTTTGTTAGATTTTAATATTGAAAAGTCTGGGAATTAGGTGATAATGAAAGACAGGGCAACACAGAGTGGGTGTGTCACTGAGTGTTTGGTGACCCAGGGCAAAATGTGAAGCCACAGTCCCCCACTCTTCCAAAAAAATTACTGTGGAAATTAA